AAGACAACGCGGTAAAGACTGCATCCACGGCTTCGGGATACTCCAGCGGCGCATACCGGTTCTCTAGATGGAAAAGTAAAAAAAAAAATAAAAAATCTACAGGGATGTGGCGGGAGGGCGCGAAAAGAACGATCTCGATTGAATCAAAAACGAGAAACAACCGAAGCAAATACTTAGACTATCGGTTTGTGTGGAAATACAGAAAAAACGTGAGAGCAAGAGATAGACATCAGCGTTGCAGCAAACTAAATGCGATCATATCCGCTTGCCCTTTCAGAGTTTGTATATAAAACAAATAAATTACAACAAATGTTTCCCCCTGCAAATTTTCACCCTCAAAATCCACATCACCCTTAACAGAAAACAATTCCCCTCTGACACTCTTGTTCCCCAGAGCCACGCTCGTGGGAAAGCCCGCAGCCCATCACGCGTGTCGTTGGGAAGTTCCTTTGCCGTTGGGGACCGCGAAGTGCGTGCCCGTTTTGTGTTTTTTGCGCGTTGATTTCCATTTATTTCACAACTCCCAATTCTCAAACCCCATGCTTTTCGTATTGTTTTGATTTTCCCCGTATCTTTTTTTTATTGTTTGCCAGGGGTCCGATCAGCCAGCCACCACCCCGCACACCACGCCTAACAATAAAGAGCGACGCTGTGAAGGAGAATGGGATCCATTCCCCACGGTCTTCGAATAAATCATGTTGAAATCATCATGGTATCACCCTTTTGAAATTCCACTGAGGGAAGAGAACAACCGCCATCCGCCACATACCCCATTAATCGCACCTAAAAAGGAGCGAGGAAGCCAAACAACATCCAACACCAAAAGAGGAATAAATAAAACTAGCAGGAGAGTCAAATCCCCAACAATTCCTCATCTTTTCTTCATAATTTCCATTGGAATTCCAAAAGATTCAAGGCGCAACGAAAGCATACCAAGTAAAAGCATACCTAGTGTAATTTACCTTCTTCTTCGCTGGGCCTAAAAAGCGCAAGAAAAAACAAAAGGAGAGAAACAGAAAATATTTTTATTAGTTTTCCCCTTGTTTCAAGAGACTTCCCCCCTGGGAAGCGGAAAGCGGCAGAATAGTTTACAACACTTTCCCACCATGCAGGGTGAGAATATCTGTTGTATTTGGGTTCTTTATGGCTTTATGGATATTACTCCAATGGTACGGCTATCAACCGTACACCGTAAAGCACCTAGTTACCGACATACGAGTGGCTCTGAAGAAGAAGATCCCTTCATTTTATAGGATCCCCAAGCTCTTGTAATATGATTTTTGTTGTAGCCCGTTCCCATACGAGAAAACCAGTCTAAGAGAGATCTGATCGAGTAAACCCTACCAGATCTCTCCACTCTCACTTTTCTTACCCATAACCCGTCCTCCAGTCTCCTTTTGGTATTATTTTTGTTATTTTTGGTTTTTTTTTTTTTGCAATAGATTGGCCTCAATGAACTCCTATTTATTTTGTTACTTGTTTGGTCGGTGGCAGGCGTCTTGAGCTTACTCTTCTATCAGGGTTTCCATGTTCGAGCTCGTCGCTGATTTTAGAGAGGTGGGGAGGCCTTACAGAGGGGTAGGTAGGCTGTGTAGGGATTCTTGGTTGTGAAGTCTGTGGCATAGCGTAGTTCCGCTCCACCGCAATAAGGAATTTTGCTAACCACTTAGAAAAACATAGTTTCATCAGGGGTACATCATCAACTATCGCAAATTGGACTCGCAGTGGATGAAGAGCGGGGCAACTCAAGAGATGCAGATCTGTTTCTTCGCATTCGTCGCGTTGACTGATGTGCGCGCGAATAGGTTGATACCCGTGGCGTGACATTCGGTGTAGAGTTAGGCCTGGCTTACTAATACACATTGACCACCGCATGAGGGGCAGACTAATTCCGGAAGGTCTCTTGTTTTCGTTGTTTTGTATTGCCCATTGGTGGAATTCGATTTTTTGGGCAGACCCTCTCCTTCATGGAATTTTCTGCAGTGTATTACGAGGGAGTCTAGGTGGGCGTAGAACTTCTGGCAGACTCCGCATTGGACTTTTTCTCTGTCCTCACGCTCTGGTGCTGGCGACGCGTCTCGCTGGCGTTTCTTATTTCGCGGAAACGTTACTTGTATTGTTGCTGGCAGAATTGGAGTTCCAGGAGGATGTTTGAACTTTTTGTGGCATGCGAGAGCTCAAATGTTGCCAAGGTGGCGTAGTGAAGCAGGTTGTGGGATGAGCTGAGGGCGAGGTGCGTCTTTTTGGGGGTTCTCAGGATGTTTCGCTCTAATATGGGCTTTGAGACCTGTTTTAGAGCGCGCTACCATATCACATTTGTCACAGGGGAATGCCGATTCTTCTGTAATCGGTTCGTCGGCTCGCGGGCGTTTTCTCTCTGGGACAGGGCGTGTGGCATTGTGCATGTATCTAAGGCGGCGCGTTAATCCATTTTGAAGCAGAAATGTTCGTTTACACATACTGCAGGCAAACGGATGGAGTTTTGCTTTAGGCGAAGTGGGACGGGGTAACGTTGTGTCCGGGGGTGGGGGTTGTGGGGGTGGCGGAGGTTCTGGCGGGATGTCCGGCGGAGGTGGCTCATGGGGGAATTTGATCTTCCAGAGCGCATCGGCTCTCTTGAACCCATGTTTGTAGACCATATGTTGTACTGCGGCGTTCCTGCATGAGTATTGTTGGCGAAAAGGAAATGCCGAGAACCTCACCCGGAACTTTCTCGGCCCCTTTCCAAAACGCCAGGCGCAACGGGAAGGGGTGGGGTCGCAAAGGCACGGCCCCTCTTTTTTTTTTTTTTCTGAGGCGCTGCTTTTCCATCGGCCCGGGGGTCAGGCGTGACGCTCGGATTTCCGCGAGGCGGGCGCCCGGCGAGCCGCCTCTTGGGCCCTTTGGCGTGGCGAACGGGCGGCGTCCCAGTACCCCCGGGGGTCCCCCCACCGGGAAGAACCGCCGTGGGTTGGATTGGGCGGGAACTCCGGGCAGGCGGCGCGCACACAAAAAAAGATTATGATGACGATGTTTTTTTTTTTTTTTTCCTTGGTTGTTCCCGTTGTCGGTGTTAGCTGGTTTTCCTGGGCGCTCTTGTCGCCATCTCATTCTCCGGTGTTGTCGTTGTCTGTTTGTTCTGTGCTTTTCCCCTCCTCTTCCCTTTGGATTGTGCGAGGTGTGGGTGTCTATTTTACCTTTTCTGGGCTCTGAATGGAAATATTTGGTGCGAGAATGAAGTGGCTTAACATGATGCGATTTGTTTATCTTCCCGTTTTGTTTTGAGGTGGTTCTTGTTCTCTTTGTTTTTCTCGTTTGCTGTGAGCAATTTTTTTTTGTATTTGAAATTGATTACCTTTGATTTCAAATTCTCTCTTTTTTTTCTTATGGGAAGATGCATTGAGTTTATGTATATATATATATTTATATAGATTGCTTAAGTTGTTACTTATTTGTTTTCTTTTGTTATAATAATAATTATTATTAGAATCGTTGTTTTTATCATTATTACTGTTTTTTTTTATTGCTATTGTCATTGGTATTATTATTATAATTATAATTATAATTATAATTATTATTATTATTGTTATTATTATAATTATGATGATGATTATTATTATTATTATTTTTAATATTATATATGTTTTTTTTTTCATTACTATTGTCATTATTATTTTCATTGTTTTTTGTTGTTATTACTAATAATGTTATTGTTATTTTTTTTTTATTGCTATTGTTATAATTATTGTAATAATAATAATAATAATTATTATTTTTTATTTTTATTTTTATTGTTTTTTATTTTGTTTCTTGTAAAGGAGATTATCTCTAAGCCAGGATGTTCACATCTCTTGCAGATATCACCAATGTCCAAGTTCCTCTTGACGGGAAGACCCTTGGGACAGGTGTCGTTACGCGACCCGGAGCAGTTCCAGTAAAGCGTCATAATCCCTACGGTTGGAAGTGTCTTGTAGAGCCATCTGTTCCATTATTAACCACAACATCTTTTCCGGATACAATAAATCCCATAAGAATTCCTGCAACACAGGATTTGTTCCTGGAGAGGGAAGATGCTCCGCCAACACCGACAAAACCTCCAGTTTGTAATGCGCTTGTACAATTTAAGTGTCACCAAAAGGAATTTTCCTCTCCTTTTGTTGCCTCCAAAGGTCAATACGTTGTTGTTCAAGGTGACCGAGGAATTGATATTGGAGTTGTTATTCGTGTGAACACTGAAAACTGTAAGACGTATGTGGAGCGATCTGGCCCAACGGGGAGCATTCTTCGTCATGCAACTCAGCGAGAGGTGGATTATTGGGCGACTGATCTCAAGGAAGACGAGGCTGTTGCCGTTTCCTTCTGTCAGCAGCGAGTTCAACATCATGGATTTGATATGGAGATTCGTCACGCCGAGTACCAATTTGATAAGAAGAAGCTCACGTTCTATTATACTGCTAAGGCACGAATCGACTTTGTACAACTCCTGAAAGAACTTTACAGGGAATTTGGATGTCGGATATGGATGGAGAAGGTTAGGATGCAAGATTAGAAAGAGGAGCAATAAAGTGCGTTTTGGGGTGAATACAGGGATTTACCAGCTAAAGAAGAAAAGAAAAAAAAAAAAAAAAAACGGTACGTCCTTGTAAACTATAAAAAAAAAAGAAAAGAAAATCAAACAAATTTTTTGAAATTAGATATTTTAAAACTACACTGTGAAAATGTATTTCCAAAATCCCGACTTTGTGGGCCTGTTCTTGCTTCAAAGAAAAGCATTTATAGGACATGCACAAATGTCACGTATAGAAGACACTTTTGTTTTTTAGAACTTTCCTTTTATTTCCTCTGAGGTTTTTTTTTTTTTTTTTGAATTATTTTTCACAAGGGAAATTTTTTTTTTTTCGGAGCATTTACTTTTTTTTCTCTGTATGCATAAGTGTTCTCTAAACTCTTCCCATTTCCTTTTGTCGCAATTTATTAATATATGAATATATGTTCTTTTGTTTTTAAAACCATAGAGATGTTTTTATGGATGTGTTTCTTCTTTTTTTTTCTTCTTCTTTCTTAATGCTATATTTTGATGGAATTTGCTCATAAGGGAGCAAAAGTAAAAAAAATGTTTCGATCTGCTTTGACTGTCAGTAAACGCTCGTACATCAATGCCTTTAATGCAAAAGCCAAAGCACGTCCAAACTTCGGTCTTCGTGGAGTAGGTTTTTGGACAAGTGAGGTTTATCACAAGCCTGGACAAAATTATTGGACAGCTCTTTGTGTTGCAGGCCCGTTTTTGATTATCGGTGCCATTATGTACGATAATTTTTGGGCAAAGCTTGATGATATTGCAGGTGGTGGCCCAAGTCATCTTGACTATGGCTGGCGCAAGGAAGATCGGAAGCCGTGGGACTTTGCTTTTGATATTGGTGAGGGATATGCTGCTGGACCGGCAACTCTCAGGCCTGCACCAGGTGCTGTGGATTTAGGGCATCATTAGGAAATTTGGGGATGTGGGATGGGGTTACTATTAGGAATAGTTTTATATATTTTTTTATCTGAACCCTTAGTACATTCAGAATTATTCTGTGATCGGAGCAGTTAGTATGTAGCATGAGTTTATCTATAGTATTTTTTTTTTTGTTTATTTTTATATTTTTATTTCCATTACCCCATATTTTGTTTGATTTACGCTACATATATTATGTTTCCTTTTTATTTAATTATTTATTTTATATTTCCAAATAGGACTTTAATGAAGCGTAAACGGTCAAATAATATTACTGTGAAGACATTATTTCGACAATATACGGTCGATGATGTATTTAGTGGTTCTTTGGACCTTTTTGATATGAGTAAAGTCTTTATGTGTGAGTCGTGTCTTTCATGCCTTACGACAAAGGATGAGCTACAAGAGCACACCAAAATTTGCCCATATAGGTATTGGATACCAGGCGACGAAGTGTATCGGTGTGGAAAGAAATGTTGTGCTGTTTTTGAAATTGATGGACGAAAACCAGCTTCGGTTCCATTTACGCGACGAATTGCCCGGATATCGAAACTTTTTTTGGATGAAAAAACCACTTTGGATGATCTTCACTTTTTTGCCTTTTTGGCTCTTTTTGAGGTTGACGATTATGGATATCATTTTGTTGGGTATTTTAGCAAAGAGTGGAGAAGAAGCATAACGTGTGATAATTCACTTTCTTGCTTGATGGTTTTACCACCTTATCGTTCTAAAGGATATGGGGCTCTTCTTATTGAGTTATCATATGAAATGGGACGAATAGAAGGCCTTTCAGGAACCCCTGAAAGACCATTAAGCACCGCTGGAAAAAAGATATTTAAACGAATGTGGCGGGAAGAACTTTTGCGGGCAATCTCCTCTCTGAATAAAAAGGGAATTCCGGTAACCATAAGTTCACTTTCTGAAGAAAGTGGAATGACGATAGAAGATGTGGTTGTCACCCTTCGTCATCTTAACGCCGTATTTTCTGTGACGAAACACAGTCCATTGATCTGTCTTCCTCGTGATATTATAAGCAAGGCCGAAGAAGACAAGAGAATAAACAGGAAATCGTTTTTGTGGATTTCACTGTTTTAGTTTTTTTTTTTTCCTTTTTTTTTCTTGCTACAATTTCTGTTTTATTTTCCATGGTAATCGTGGACTTCAATTTCCCTCAGAGTATATATAAATATATTTATTTATATATTTATTTATTTATTTAATCTTGGGTTTAGGAACTAATTAAAAATATTTTTAAAAAATATGTCACCAACTTGATTATTTTTTTTTTCTTGGTTTTCTGTGTTCATATGTTAGCAGAAGTGCTCTTGTTTTTTTTTTTTTTTTATTATTGTTTGCAATGATTTTTGTCAAGGTTTAAGAAGAAATGGAGATATTACGAATTCGGGGTCTTAAGTTTAATTTTGGTGTAGAGTTTTCTAGGCTTACCATTTTACGATGTTTTGGAGAATACGGACCTTTATATGATGTTCTCCTTGATGTGCCACATGGTGAGGCCTTAGTGTCATATGTAGAGTCTGCATCTGCCCAGGATGCATACCTGAAAATGAACGGGTTTTTGCTTTTCGGTGAACCGATAGAAGTTAGTATTACAGCTCCTCCTGTATCTGATATACCCGGATGGACAGTTACTTATAGACCTTCACGATATTTGATTGTACGGGGAGCTTCATATTTGTGGGTGGAATTAAATTTAAGACATGTGAAGGGAGTAGATGCGATTCAAAGTATTGATGCAAATACAACCGTTGCATCATTTGAAAATCAAACTATTTCAACAGCAATTAAACGATTACTTGATGGTCGCATTGCTTACAATGGCAAATCTGTATTGGTATTATATCTGAAACAGGTTTGATTTTCTTTGTCCCTCCTTCTCCTTTAAAAGGTTTATCATGCACATTAATCATATATTAAAGGAAGTACGTCAGATGCAAGAAGAGAACTGGATGGCAATAGAAAGAACAGATTATGTATTGAGATACGTTTCTCTTTTTGTGGACCGGCTACTCTCTTTACTGGGCCCATCCGCTTTATTTGAAGACCGCGGAAATTGTGGATATGATAACATCTAATCTAACCAAGATGTTGGGAATGGGATGGTGGCTGTCCATGGTATGTACAAAAGTTGTACTATTGTCTTTGAGTACCGGTTTAGTTACCATTCTGATGCCGCAGATGTGGATGACGAGAGAGTGGTACTCTATATTAAAAAAAAAAAAAAATGTGCTGTATCTCAGTCATTAAATGCCATCAGTTTTATCACATTTTACACAGATAGTTCTGCGCAGAGAAGAGCAGAGAGTTTTTTTTTTGTTTTCTTTACTTACACTAATTTACTCACTTTTCATCTTCCTTTCTTGATGATTCAAATAATAAAAAAAAAAAAAAATGAATGTGCCATTTCAATCTCCGTTAAGGAAAAAAACAAAAAAAAAACAAATGCTAGAATTAATTTTTTTTTCTTTTACTCTCTTTTTTTTTCTTGTTGTTGTTTTTGTTTTCGTTGTTTTCAATCTTAAAGTAGTTCAACAAGCAATGAGTAATTTCTTCGACGTCAGCGACAGTGACGAAAGCTTGGAAGAGGTCATCTATCAAGATGAACAGGTGGAACGGAATGTGGCCCAGATCGACCCCAAGTGGTTTGAAGTTTCTGACGATGAGGATGCGGACGAAAAACATGTTGTTCTCTCCCGTAATGAGAAATCCATAAATGAAATTCAAACTTTAAGCGGGCTTTTTGATTTCAGCGTTGGTCAAGAATCATGGTTTGAAGCGGAAAAGACTTTTGTACAGCTGCAACAAAAGGCATCAGTGCACAAGGAAAAGTTCAAGTCTGCTCCTTGGCCATTTTTGGAATGTCTTCAAAATACTCCTGATCTTTCAGAAAAAATGGGTGAAAAGGAGACGTTCAAAAAAGCAGAAGATTTTTACAGCCTAAAAAGACTTATCAAGGTCCTCCATGAAATGAATGAAATGTACAAGGATGATATCGAAAGGATGCATGAAGAAGAAAGTGAAGAAGATAGTGATGATAGAACACAGGAAAAGGAAGAAAAAGAGTTAACTGAAGAGGATATTATACAAGAATTACAGCAATCAGTAACATTAAAAGGAAAAAAAGCAACTAGATATCAAAAACTTGTTCAAGAATGCAAGGTAAAAGGTTACACAGCCCTTCAAATGACGGCATTGGGTATTCTTGCAGATGCTCTTCTTGATGAAGATAATCGTCTACCCTACGTTACCACTGGAACATGGATGAAGTCTTTTAACGCTGCAAATACATGCTATACTCTTATGGTTGCAAATCCTGCAATAACTGTAAGAGAAGATTTTTCGTCAGTTCCTGCCAATAATCGTGCCTGTATAACAGGTGGATTATGTGGTCTGTTACTCAGACTTCAAATGCACTTGCAGCGTATTACACAATTTAAGGTTGGTGCCACAGATGATTATTTCGAAGTGATTCAATTGGAAAATCGCCTAGTGGATTTGACTGATTCTGTACTTGGATACTATCAACAGCGCAGACGTGGTAAGATAATTTGTTGTCAAATTCTTGTTGATATCCTTGGCACAAGGCGTCAACAGGCCCATGACATACTGTATTACAAAATGACTAGTCAGAAACGCAATATGGTTACCAGCTCGGTTATTGAAACGGTACGTAATATTTATCACGAACTCCTACCTATAGGAGATGAAGAAATAAAGTGTCGTGCTCTACTTAATCTTGCATACCAGATGGGATTGGAAGGAAAATACCGAGAAGGACGTGATCTTGTTCTTCGCTCTGGTGTGGATGGAGTTGTAGAAAGGTCTGTCCATCTTGCCATTTTGTATGACCGAGTTATTGCACAATTGGGATTGTCTTCCTTCGCGGCAGGTGATATTATGCAAGCTTACAACTTTCTCAGCCCTCTATGGTCTAATCGAAACCATGATGTCCTGATCAGTCAACGACTTCCAGATCACGTTAAAGTAAATGAAGAAGAAGAGTTAAAGTATCGTGACTTATTGGTGCCTCCACACGCCTATATTCCACATGCCCAATTGGAACTTGCCACTATGCTTTCTACTTTAGTGGTAGATACAGTAAAGGAAGCCAAAAAACCTTACGAGGGAAGCCGTCATCAAAGTTACTTTTACAGAGTGATAAACCAAATGGCTTATCAACCATTAATGGGTGAACCAGTGGAATTCAGAGAACAAGTTACAGCTGCCTATAACGCCTTAAAACTTGGTGATTACATTAAAGCCAGTGAGGTTGTAAAAAATATGAGCGCATGGTCGACAATGCCAAATGGTGAAGAAGCTCTAAAGATATTTTTGCAACACTTGAAGGAAGCAGCTCTCCGTATCTTCTGTTATACTAACAGATGTAATTTTGCCACAATATCCGTAAATATGATGATGAAGAAGTATGAGCTAACTGAAAATGAAGTGAAATGTGTCATTAATGACGTTATCTCAGAAAATAACAGTTCTCTCATAGCATTCTGGGACAGGGAAGATCAATTCCTTCACGTTGACCGAAGCAATGCCTCTTGGCTTCAGTATCTTGTGGAAGGGACATCGGAAAGTGTCGTTGAAGTTGCACAGTATTCGGAGAAGCGTGTACGAGACAGTGAATACAGAGGAGGACGAGGACGAGGTCGTGGACGTGGACGCGGCCGTGGTAGGGGAGGCCGTTAACTAAGGAAAGATATAACCACCATTAAAGGTAAGATCATTAAATTCGCAGCAAAGAGGAAATGTTGAGTACCGAATTTCTTCTTCTACGTAAAGAATATCTGGTGTGTAAAGGTAAAGAAAATTAATTAATCAATTTTTTGTTTGTGTATGTGTGTGTGTGTGTTTCTCCCTCTTTCTCGTGTTGTTATTCTTACTATTGTTACTATTACTATTATTATTACTATTATTATTTAATAAATTTATTTCATTTTTTTTTTTTTTTTCTTCTTTCTTTGTTTCTTTTTACAGCAGAATTTATTCAATGTCTGCACTAGAGGAGCATGCCTTTCTTCAACTTTTAAAGAAAATAGAAAAGGAAAAGTATGTTCCAAACATTGGGGAACGTGCTATTCTTTGTCGGACAATTAATAGTACATTTAATCCAGTGGGGTTGTATTTCTCTGCCGTTGGTGGAGTTTGTGGATTTCTCTCAATGAGTTGTGCGCGGGGCCTTTATATGAGGTGTTTAAGTTCACTAATGGGTTCGTTATATTCGTTTGAACTCTCGTGGTCTTTGTATGACCATAGTCCTTGCTCAAATTTTTTTAACGATATTCGCTCAGTGGAAGGTCAAATAGGGAAAAAAGCGAGTGAACATTACTTACTTGGAAACTTGAATGTTTATCATCGATCTATTTTTAGAGCTGCTTTCGATTTTCTTATCTTTGATAGGACATCAAAATGGTTGTGTTCTGTATTTCTGGGATCTACAGATTGTTTGCAATGGTTGTCACATTATAAAATGGAGTGGTTTGATGGGTTACCTATAGATCCCTTAACACTATGGTATTGGAGATATATGTTGCAAGGGCAAACTGAAAGATGAGTCAAAAGAAAAAAACATAATAATAATAATAATAATAATAATAATAATAATAATAATAATAAAAGGTTTTAGTTGATTCTATCACCAGGAGTTTTTCACTTTTCCTCCTTGATGCGATTTATTCTTTTGATTGATTGATTGATTGTTTCTTTATTTGGTGGTTTAGTCTCAGACTTTACTTTTTTTTTTTCCCTCTGACGGAGCAGTTTTGTTTCTTGAAGGTTGTGTCAGGATGCAGAAAAAAATCCTAGACGCGGATGGGGGAACGGGAATTGGTTATGAGCCTGTTGTTATACCAAAGGAAAAGTACGCGAAAATAACACATGGACGAAATGTGTTTTTTGCGACGTGTATTGGAGGCGCCGCCGTTGTTTGGGGTCTTAGTATGATACCACAAGGGTTTATGTACCGCTCGTTAAGACACATGTACCAAACGTACTGCAGAGGTCGAGTTTTGGACCTAACACCAAAAATAGCAGATACGAGGGATGTGGCTTTTTACGAAATGTCCAAAGCAGTTCGTGTGGAATTTATCGTAGAGCATAAAGTTGTCGATGATGGACGTTATAAAATAAGTGATCTTCTTTCCGAAACAGATCAGGAACAGAGACGTAAAGATATGACTTTAGACTTTATGGTAAAAAACGATCACAATTGGGTTGGAAGCACAATAACTTTTGATACGATTGAACGAAGTAAAGTTGAGATGCATGATTTTCAAAAATATGATACAATTGTGATCCGTAATGAATTGCTAAATCAAAATGAAGAAAAAGCACGTCATATGTTGAATAATGCCGCTATGTACGTGAAAAACGATGGTCACGTTCTTCTTATGGATTTTGGGAAACCATCGTGGCCTATGCTCACATCATTCATTCGCTGGTTTAATTCTGTAACAGCAAGCTCAATGCATCTGACTCATGACTACAATAGATGGATCAAAGAAGATGCTCGCTATTTTGTTGTGGAGGAACGCAGGTGCCTTATGGGTCTTCATTATGCGTTTGCACTCCGACTAAAGTGATGCGTTTATATTAAGTTGCCGAGAAATTCTTAATCTTCACCGTTCTTGTATATATACGTATACATATATATATATATATATATATATTATTTGCTTCTGTGGTAATCAATCTGTTGACGTTTTTTTTTTTTTTCTCTTACTCTGATGTTTCTAAACTTCTTTTTTTTTCTTTGAAAATAATAATAATAATAATAATAATAAACACATCTAACAAAACAAAAGGCCGTCGTAAATGGACGAAAGGCAAATAATTGCTGTAAGGGAGCTGAGGAAGCAGTTACAGGAAATAGAAGATGCTCTAGCCGCCCAAGAGAAGCTCTTGCATGGGCGAAACCAAGGAATGGCAACCCTTTCATCACGTATCGCTGAAACCACAAATTCTGTAGAGGAGAGTGAAAAGGAATTAAGAGTGGCTCAAGAACATTTTGAGGATGCAGAAAGAGAGAACAATGTGGTGCGATCAGAACGAGTAAGAATTACTCAAATATCCGAGAACCATCTTCAACGTGATATATACGTGAGGGAAATCTCAGAAGCTGATGAAGGTCTAAGAGAAATACAAAGTCAACTTGAGAGTATTGGGGATCAAGTAGAAATACTAAATGGGACTCATGAAGATGCAAATACCAGAAAGAGACTTACCTTGGTGAGTCTCATCTCAATGTTAGACAATCTTCATGCTTCTTTGACTCGCAGTGTTCAGTGTGTTTCGTATGAGGAAGATAATAGAGCACGAGAAGTTCTTAAAGCTTTGCGAGAGCTATCACGAGAGCGTGAAAAGGCATTTGGATACTGTTTAAGAAAGAAACGTGAAGTTGCAGCTATTATTGAGCTAAAAAAGCAGCGAACAAATGAACTTGTACTTGATTCTCAAAAAAACCTATCGTTACTGCGTGAGAATCAGGAAAAGACAACTCTTGGTGTTGTTGAAGAAATACAAGCGGAACGTAAAATGCTTCAAGAAGAGATTGAAAGTATTCAAAGTGCAAATCAGAAGCTCTGGGACACACTTCGTTATACCAAATATTCCTCTGATACTGTTCAGAGTGGTGACCACAAACGAGAAGCTGCAGTCTCAGCAAATGATGCTTTACAAGGTTCTCCTGATTTGGAAATAGAAAAAGATCATCTCCGTGAACAGTTAAAACTGTTTGATGCCAAGAAAAACAAACTTCATCGGATGACAGAAGAACTAAGGAGTAGTACGAATGCGGAAATGGAAAAAAAGACACAGAAATTAAGAGATCTTCGGCGTGAAGTTCATGTTCAGCAACGAGAAAGCAACAAAATTGAAGGAGAAAGCCGGAAGCTTAAATCTCTGTGTGATTCCTTGGTAGCGTCACTTGGAGAGGGACGCTAAAGGTGTGCTGAATATTAGCGTTTTATGAGTTATTTCGAATGATTGTATTGTTTTAATGGGGTTATGTTTTTTACTTGGATTTTTTTTTTTTTTTTCGTGCTAATAGGGATATGATAGCTCTATTTGTTCATTTATGTATTTATGTATTTATTTATTTTATTTATTTATTTTTTTTGAAGAAAAAAAAAACGAAGGGAAAAAAGAATAAAAGAAAAAGGTAATTAAAATCAATAAGAATAGACAAAAAATTATTGATATGCCTTTTGAACTTATTCCTCCTCACGCGTATCAGACCAAGATTCCGAAATGCATTCTGCGGATTGATGATAACTGGTATGATTGTACTTCTTGGAGACATTCACACCCTGGAGGGGCTATGATTTGTGATCAATTTCACGATAAGGATGCTACAGATGTTTTTTACTCGCTTCATTCAAAGGAGGCTATACAAAAACTCAAGAGGATGAAAGCACTTCCTCTTAGGGAGACTGATAAGCCACGTGATGAAGTTTCATTAAGATTTGAAAAACTCAGAAAGGAGCTTGAAAAAGATGGCTGGTTTGAACGGGATTGGTTTATTGATTTTACTCGTAATATCATTCCTGTTATCATTCTTTGTGTTGTGGGGAGTTTCTTAAGTTATTCATATCCTCTTATATCGATAATTATGATTGGATTGGGTATGCAACAGGGAGGATGGTTGGCCCATGATTTTGGACATGGTCGAGGTAAGTTAAGCCATTTTTTGGGTGTTACTCTTGGTGGTCTTATCAACGGATTCTCTCTAAGCTGGTGGTCTCAGAAGCACAATACACATCACACATTTCCGAACAGGAAAGAACATGATGCTGATATTCACAATGAACCTGTTTTGTATTTATGGACCCCTAAAGACGAAGATGATAATTTTTTTCGTCGTTACCAGCATTTTTATTATCCTTTTGCGTATTCTCTTCTTTACATCTCTTGGCGGATGCAATCTATAATATTTGTACTCGGAAGTCGTAATACCGTTGAGCGTTTGATGATTGTATTGAATTATCTGTGGTTGGCATGTCTTCCCTGGAAAGTCGTAATTGGCAGTATTTTATTGGGTGGATTTTGTGTCGCTATTGTGGTGACGGCGAATCATCAAACTGAAGAAATACTGGAACCAAATGATAACTACCATTATGTTGTAGATCAGTATCGAACAACTCGTGGTGTTCATTGCTCTAGCATGTTTTTCGAGTGGTTTTTCGGCGGAATGCAGTATCAGCTGGAGCATCACCTTTTTCCCATGATGCCACGTTATCGGTATCCAAAAGCTCGTACTGTGGTGAAGAAGTTCTCCGAAGAAAATTCACTTCCATTTCACGTAAATGGAGTGATGGAAATCATAAGGATGAACTATGATGTTATAAAGAAAAATTCCCAGCCAATTGAATCTATTCAGAAGTGAAAAGAGTCAAAAATTATTTCTAACCTGGGTTTGGGGTTTATAGTGTGAAATAGGAGTTCTCACATTTCTTTGTTTCCCCCCCCCCCGGCTTTTGCCTGTCATAAGTTGTAGAATGTTCAACCTAAGAGAAAAAGTGAGGATAGGGAGGAGGAAAGAAAGAAGGAAGGAAGGAAGGAAAGCATCACTTGATGAACTGACAAAGGAATAAAAAATAAAAATAAAAAACACGAAAGTGTAAGTGTAAGAAATATGTTTCTTGTGCCAAAAATTTGTTTTTCTCAACATAAATATTACGGCATCTTGTGTAGCGACATTGTGTTGTTGGTTCATTAATTCAATAATTTGGTGTTTGGTTTATGTCTATCCTCTATTTATTTCTCTCTCTTTCTCTTCTCTCGATACGACATGTCTATCTTATTTTTATTTTTATGTTTTTGCATTATTTTAGTTTACATTATTTGAGTTTGGACAATGCGTCTTTTACTTCTGATTGCTTTTCTACTCAGTTTGCTTCGAGCTGATGCATCTGATGTCGTGGCTGCCACAGTTGATGACTTTGACAGTGTTATAAAGAAGGGTGAGATCGCGCTTGTTAAGTTCTACGCCCCATGGTGTGGTCACTGCCAGAAACTTGCTCCCGAGTGGGAAAAGGCTGCCAAGGAGGTTCCAGGCGAGGCTATCATGGTAGACGTTGATTGTACAAAGGAAACTAAATTGGCCGAGAAGTACTCAATCAAGGGCTTCCCTACGATTATTCTCTTCCGCAACGGTGAGGAAGTGGAAACGTACAAAGGCGCTCGTCAAAGCGATGCGATTGTAAAATATATCAAGGCAAATGTTGGTCCAGCTGCCGTTTACCCCACAACAGCGGAAGAAGTTGAAAAGCTTAAAGAAGAACACGAAATCCTCTGTGTTGGTCTGACGTCTGACGCTGAGTCACCTCTTGCAAAAGAACTTCTTTCAGTTGCTCAGCGCCTCCGAATGAAAATGAAGTTTGCTATTGTAACAAAACCGGAAATTGTACCGGGTGAGAAGGCTGAAACTGTCGTTGTTTACAGAAAGGATGATGAAAAGGAAGTATATCAAGGGAATATGGAAGCAGATAATCTGAAGAATTTTCTTGAGACTGCTGTTGTTCCCTTCGCTGGGGAAATTGGCCCTGCAAATTACCTCAGATACGCAGAATTATCTAAGCCAGTTGGTTGGGTTTTGCTAAAACCCAAGGAAGAACTTTCTAAAGAGTTACAACCTAAACTTTTGGAGGTTGGAAAGAAAATGCGACAGCATTTGGCAATTCTTTGGGTCGATGCTGAGCAGTATCCTGTATGGAAGAACCTTGGTGTCTCGGAGGATGCTAAGTATCCTGCTTTTGTTATTGCCAAAGGGGACAAACACCATGTCCTTCCAACTTCAGAACCGGCGACGGTGGAATCTATTGAGGAATTCATTGTAAAATATGCAGAGGGAAAAACAGATGCGGAGCTTAAATCCCAACCTGTTCCTGAAGTTGAAACAGTTGATGGTCTTACTACTATTGTTGGAAAGACTATGAATAAATATTTATCATCAGGAAAAGATATTTTAATTGAGTTCTTTGCTCCTTGGTGCGGGCATTGTAAAAATTTTGCTGGTACTTACGCAAAGGTTGCGAAGGAATTTGAATCTTCAGATGTTATAATTGCTGCAATTGATGCTACCGCTAATGATGTGGACCGTTCTTTGTTTGATGTGACTGGTTTTCCTACCCTTTACTTCGTCCCCAGTGGAGGAAAACCCATTCTCTACAACGGAGATCGTACCTTTTACGACCTATATAAGTTTATTCGTGATCACAGCTCATCCTTCAAGGATGATAAGGGCGCATCTGTTCCAAAGGAAGAAAAGAAGGAAGAAGTGCGCAGCGATGAGGATAGAGGTGATTTATGAACACATAATGTGTTACTTTGTTTTTTCTTGTTTTTTCTTTTTTGCTTTTCAATCTGAACGAAAAGGAAAAATCAAAAAATGAACACGTTTTTTTTTTTTTTTTTTTGAAGGAAATCAAACAAACCAAAAAAAAAAAGAGAAACCAAGAAGTGGAACCGTGTATAAAACGATAGATGTCTTTTATTTCCTGTGCGCATCAGATGTTTCACTTCTTAAGAGTTATTGGTTTTTTTTTTTTTCTTCTTCAAATCTCAGATGGTAAGAGTTGAAAATGCTATCGGTGATAGGATAGGGTGGTGATGCTCCTTTCTATTCTTTGCTTTTATATTTGTATTTACTCTTTTTTTAGTTGTGGTTTAGGATAGTGTAAGCAGTGCGTACGTGTGCTGTCGTTTTTTTTTTTTTTTTTAATTTGTGAGAGTAATACCCTTACCATGGAAGGTCTACCGGTTGTCTCCTATAGTAGGGTCACAGATCTCGCAAAATCGTATCGTCTACGGATAGCAGAGGATAGGTATAAAACTGTTCTTCACAATCCTCTGAAGGTAGAAGAATGTACTGAACCAGTTCTTGCGGCGGAGGAGGATCGACGTAGCACTATTGAAAGACAGGAGGAGGAAGAGATTTCTGGAATTATGCGACGATGGATAAAGTGTTCCGCATTCTTCACATCAGAAATTCACTCCATGAAAGAGATAGAACAGAAAAAGGTGGAGGTATCAAGACGACAAAATATTCTTGAGAAACAGATTTACCGTGAAGAATTTCTAAGATTCTGGGAAAAAAGAAAACATCAACATCACCATCGTCCTGTTAATCTTAGTAAGTTTTTTATGATAGCGTATAGTTATAATATATTGCCTTTTGCAACGGATCCAGTGGAATGTTGGGAACGAGGAATCGTTGTGCCTCCTGAGCTTCAGCAGTCGGTAGAGATATCAGATAGCGAGGGGACTGTTTCACTACCACCCTTTCATGAATTGTCTATGAGGTTTCGGGAAGCTTATAATCATTATCGCACCCAATAAGATTTTATTGTATTTATCAAGGAGGTTTCCATCTAAAAAAGAATAAAAACTTTCCTCTTTGGGTACTCTGTTTATATATATATATTTTCCTTTTTTTATGGTTAGCGAGTCTGGTTTTATGCCTCCTGGCCCTGACTGTAAATGTAATCCCATACCTACTGGAGTAATAAAAAAAAAAAAAGTAGAGGTCAAAAAAAGAATGAGGAGTATGTTAACGGGAAGTGGGAATGTGGGGAGTTTGACCAGTTGTGTGGCGTGGTTGGGGCTCTTTTTTTTTTTATATATATTGTTTGCCTTGTGTTTTTTCTTGTGGTTTTTTCTTATTTATTTATTTATTTTTTTTTCTGTGATTGTGTCTTCTATGCCACTTCTACGCTCATCTGCTTTGGTGTTAATTTTTCACCTGTGGTGATTAGAAGTGTGAATGTCGCTACTCTCTGCAGCGCCGCTATGTCGCTGGGCCCATTTTGCGACGCATTGTTGTGTGGGAGTTGTGCGCTCTCCATGTAGAGGATTAATTCTTGGAGAACCGTTGTGGACCTGTCGTTTACTGATCTCCGACTGTGGTTTATCAGCCTCCTCATCACCAGGCCAAAAGGTGATATGCAGTCAGGAGCTATTAACGCTAAAATGTAGAGGTGTTCCGTTTGTTGAGTATTGTGCATCCGAACTAAAGGAAGGCGCACTTGTGCATGTGGTGGCAAAAATGTACCAAAAACCCAGGTTCGTGCCTATTCATGGTACATATGTGGAAGACACAGAGTTATTGGTCTCCGAAGAATTTGGTTCACTAGTTCTTCTTAAGCAACTGTGACGTAATCAAAATTTTTACTGATACTTTTCAATACTCACTTTTTCTAGAATAATTTTAACCAAGATGAAGATGAAAACAATATGTGGGGTGTTGTAGTCACTTCAAGTTCTCTTCTCTTTTTCTTTTATCGTACTTTGAAAGAGGATGTATCGATTTTTACTTCGTAGTGCGGTGTTGGAGTGCTCCACTGCCATTGGAGTTCGTTGCTTTGCGCGGGTTCCGGGGATGCGCTGCAGGACCGCACGTCTACGCTGCGGTGTTTGCCCACCTCCTGTGGCGGTCTGCCAACGGCGCCACCAATCGACGGCGGACAAAAAGTTTCACTGCACGGTCTGCATGAAGGCGTTCCGCCTGGAGATGGCGGCCCGTTTGCACCTCCAGCAGGCGCACGGTGGTGAGGGTGAGGTGGCCGCTGGACCCGGTCCCGGCCCCGGCTCTGGGACAGAGAGCCCCCCCGCCCCCAACACCTCCCACCCCCTCCACCCCCTTCACCCCATGCCGCCGGTGGCCCCAGTCGAGAGGAACTTTGGCGACGACGAGGATCGCCGCCCACGTCGGCAACGGCCCACACCAAAACCGCTTCACCAGCCTGATCGGGAAGTCCCAGAGGTTGCCATGACGGAGCTCCTTGGAGTATGGGACAAGGTTGGACTCAGCAGACTGGAGGGAAAATTTGTTCACAGTACTATGGTAATGAAAGTTTTTGCCGCGCGTCCAGATGCTTCGGAGAAGCCACTTTACGAATCAGTTACTCCTGAGGGTGATAACCCTTTTGAGAAACTGGAACAGGTCGCCTCAGGGGGTGTGGTGAGTGAGTCCTACGTTGGAGATGAGGCTTTCACGGATATAGACTTAAGTGGACCATTTGCTGCGGCACCTGATTATACATTAAACCCGTTTCGTGCGGGTAGGGTTGATAACCCGTTTACAAAAACTTCTACACCCCAATATGAGGTAAATAAACCTCTTAAGCAGCTGCAACAACAACAACAACAACAACAACAAAAAGAAGAGCCTGTGACAGCTCCAATTACACCATTCGGTCAGTTACCACTATTTGGGAAACAACAAGTACCAAAGGAAACAATAACGCCGAATACATCACAGCCAAAGGTTTCGGATGTCAACGAAGTCTCCTCACCTTTCTCTGCAGCTGTGAGTGATTCTCCATTTACAGGGAAAGTAAATTCTCCATTCGCTTCCGATTTTGGGGATGTTGCTACACCATTTGAGTCATCACCGTTTACGGCAACATCACCGTTTACTGTACCTGGAATGCAACAAACTTCACCATTTACTACAACAGATGCTGCAAGTCCTTTTGCTCAGACTGGATCTACATTTCCTTCTACATTCCCTATGACAGTAGGAGTTCCCAATATTGCAACAATGACTCAGCAAGAGCAATCGGTTCCAGCTCCTGAACATGAATGTCCTACGTGTGGAAAGAAATTTACTACCTTTGATGGGGCAGCCATGCACAGTAAAGCTAAACATGGTATTGTTCTTGAAGGTGAAAAGAAAGATAAAGGTAAACATCAAGGTCGTAATGTGCCTGATTTACCTGCATATATTCCAAGTCCAGTGGATCTTTCCTCAACATCTCCCTTTGGAATGAAAACTACTGTTAGTGCTTCATGGGCAGAAACTGAACTTATACCTCATGCACAGTGTATAAGTAATATTACAATTGTCGGTCGTGTGCTGGATATCACACAAACATTGGAAAACGTCTCTCAGGTGACCGTCTTTGTTCAAGGTGAAGAAAATGGAGAAGAAGAAACAATGACGCTTCACTGTTCTGGCGACATCAATGCTAAGGTTCGGGATACGCTGAAACGTAATGCTACTGTATTTGTTAGTGGAACTCTTCGTCTTCATCCTGTTTATGAAGCAACCAACAATAAGTATTACATGAGCCCTGTCGTGCATGTGGCATTGCCGACTGGAACATTAGCTGTTATCACATAAGCTTCAGATCGGATTTTCCGATGCTCTTTCTTCTTTCTCTTACTCTGTTTTTTCCCCTTTATCCTCTACCTTTTTTTTTTAATGTAGAGGCCTGTCACACCAAGTCTAAAATTCTTTTAAAGATTTTGATGTCTACATCCCTTTATCATGCATTATCTCTCATTATTTCATTCTTTTTTTTTGTTATTGTTGAAGCGGATAAAAGAAAAAGGAAGAAGAGACTCATGTTGGAGACTCCGAGAAGCAAGGAGGCACTGGAGAAGCTCTGTGGATTTCTTTCAAGTGAAGGGAATGCCACAAAAGAGAGTAATTCACTAGCGGACCTCTTCACCACTTCTACACAAGAGACTGTTCGAAGTGTGGAGGTGGAAGTGGCTTTTTTGGTGTCTCCGCCAGCTCATCGCGTTCCTCTATACTTTACCCTTCCATATGAAGTATTACCAGGGACAATATGTGTAGTTACCCCATCACCTCAGCGAAAATACAAGGATAAGGTGTTACAGTTAAGTGAAGATGGAAATCCAGTTGCCCAACGTGTTAAAAAGGTCATTGATACAAAAAAACTTAACATGAAATTTGTGGACCCTGTTGCGGTAAGGGCTCTCGCTAACAGTTTTGATCACTTCATTTTGTTTGGTGTCAAAAAGTACCCCCGCCAGTTAACTGGAGAGTTTCTTGGACACCAGAAGCCCCCTGTTTGGGTGCCTCAACGTGGAGGATTCAAGTCAAATTTGTTAAAGGCAGTGAATACGGTGGTATTTCAGCGTCGTGGTCATAATGCTGTTACGTGCCGCATTGGTCATACTGGTCTTTCACTGGATCAACTCCACGAGAATCTTCAGTCCTTTCTCGCGCAGATGACTAGCCATGCTCAAGGAACGATTCCTGAGGATATCCTGCACATTCGTGTGGCTGGAACAAACAATATGGGCAAACGTGCTGGGCTTCCGATATTTGTTCACACGTTCCAAATTCCGCGTGAAGTGCCGGAAAATGGAGGCGAAGAGCCAGTGACAAAGAAGCGAAGGAAGGATGAATAAATAAGTAATGCCGATTAAGTTAAGTTATAACCGTCACTATATTTATATTAGATGGATGACCCATTTTCTTGTACATCATTTTGCTCACAATTACTATCTTCTTTTTTTTTTCTTCTTTTTTACTTGAACCCTTGAAATCTTGACCTTTTTTTTCTATTTTTTTTTTTTTTTTTTTTTTTTTTTTTTT